GGCCGGAGCTAGTCCATGTAAATCTAACAGTCAGATCATCTAGAGCATACTATGCTCCTGGAGCATACCAGTTGTCTCCATATATATATAGTGACTTCTATCGTACACTAGACATATATTGAGGTATGTCGTACACCAGCAATCTCCACCGTCCACGTCCATCTCAACGGTCAACATTAATGCGGGTTCTTTTTTTGTGGGATTAAAAAATAAATTACATCATTTATGCTGGCCATTGAGATGGACGCGGGCGATGGAGATTGTCTGGTGTACGACATACACCAGGTTTATATATATATATATATATCAAAGGCTAGCATACGCCCTATCCCATTGCCAAATACTTCAGGGGATCGCCTCTGTTAAAGAAGTTGATTCCTAAGTTTTATCTCATGTTATGACATAAGTAAGCAGTTCTTATTATATAGACCAAATATTTCACTAATTGATCTTTACAATGCTTCCTTTATGAATTTGACCCTTTACCTATATACTAAAGTATCTTGGCATCATTTTTCTTCATATTTCGACTCTATGAAGTTTCTTTCCTTGCTACAGCGGATAAAAATCGTTGTTTTGTGGTATAGTATAATTCTTACTCGCATCAAGCTATGCTCTCCATTTCCTTCTTCTTATTCGACTCTTTGATTTTTCTCCTTGTCGTACTGACTAACCGCGGTATTCGAATTGTTGGCTTTCCGCCGCCCCTACCTATGAGTAGCCAAATCATTCTTCAAGATGACTGCATCGCCTAAGCCACTTTATATATATAGTTCGTATATATATATATATATATATATATATATATATATATATATATATATATATATATATATATGTGGCTACTTCAGTGCACTCACTTTTTTTGTGCATTCAGTGCACCCAACTCTAAAAGTGGTTATAATACATCAAATTTTGAAGTTAAATAGGTAGATTTAGTCTAATATGATGATATAACACAGAATCACAACTAATCAATCCATTACTCTAACCCCTTGACCTTCAATTTTGAATACCATCCCAAAATCCCAAATTGTAAATTCTAACCTTAACCGTAAATTCCTAAACCCTAAATCATTCAAATTAAAGTATATCTTGAATGATTTTTGTACAAATTCATGTGTTCCTTCTCATCACACCACAAGTGATGATTGACATCGTTTCCATATGAATCGCCTGCTCAGAATGACGATTATGAGGCGAGTGCATTGAATGCACCCTAAAAAGCGAGTCCACCAGAGATATAACCATATATATATGAAAATAATTAGACCTGGAAATCGGGTCGGGTTGGGGACTTCGGTTACGAGTCGGGTCATGTTTGGTTGGCTAATTTCGGGTCAAATATTCACCCAACCCATTCGGTTTCGGATCGGGTTACATGTCATTTCGGATTATGAGCGTTCTCAGAAACAATATCAAACATGCTTCATATTTTCTTAAAGAACACAAGTTTTCACATACGCATGACAATAATTTACCTAACACATGTCAATTAACATATTCTCAAATCCTCCAACGCTAATGAAACGAAATATAAATTGCGCAAATCGTCAAAAAACAATCACAAGAGTAATACTACTACAAGAAACACATGATATTTAATTATCCTTAAACTCCAAACATGTCATTCAAATCCTTGTGGTTTTTTTTAAACATCTCACAAATTTATGAGTGATTTTATCATATTTTGGGAGTGATATATAAAATGGAACGGGTCTAACGGGTCGACCCGCTAACCCACCCAACCCGATCCAAAAAATCACGGGTTATCGGGTTTGGGTCATTCGGATTTCGGGTTACAAAAATTTCTAGTTTTTGGGCGGTTACGGGTAGGGTCAACGGGTCAGTTTATAATTTGCCAGTTCTAAAAATAATTCAATATATTTTTTTCCGATGAATCGGATATCATATATCTCATCAGAAAAAATCCAAGTACAACAAGTGACAACAACCCTGCCAAGTGTGAAGAATTTGATAACGCGGAATTGAAACGAACACAAGAGTTTTACGTGGTATTCTCGATCGATTGATTGATCGAGACTAATTCACGGTGAGCTCGGAAGAGCTCACAACTGACGTTTTATTGAACGACTACATTGTGACGGCTTGCTTACGACAATCTCCGTAGCTAAGCTTATATAGACGTAGGGTTAAAACCCTAATGACAACCAAGTTTCCTTCTTTGACAAGGACAAGGAAACAAGGGACTTGGAGGACACGGAATTAATTATTTTTGACTAAATAATTAATATCCTCAACAAAGTGCCAACTGAGTAATCAACCAAATCAGGAACAAAACTCAAGTAAGCCTAAACATTCTCCATATACTATGATTTTGTATCTATGCTGTAAAGAGCCAAGAGTGGGATCAACTGAATCACTTTCACTTCTTTCTTTATATGCAATATCAGCTCCAGACTCCAGTCTTGCCTTCGGCTTACTCCCATACTTCCGAGAGCATCTCTCTCCAGATAGCCCTAAGCAAAGCTAACTAAATCAGCCTCCTTGTCATAGAGGGGACATACTTGAATACACTAGTAGCCCATTGGAATTCCACACCCCAATCATCTCTTGGGGTCCTATTTGTAAACCCAGTAAGCAAACGTACAAACACCACCTTGAAATAAGGGCAAGCAGCAAACATGTGAATTTCGTCTCCATAATGTGAGAGCAAAACAACATGATAAATAGGGATGGCAACAAAACCCAAATTCATGGGTACCCTACCCGACCCAACTCGGTCAACGCGAGTAAAACCTGTGTTGATGGATTTTGGGTTGGGTTTGGGTTTTAGAGATAACCGCCCACACTTATTCCGTCGCCCTACTTTCTCCAAATCCTACCCTAATTCTAATATCCCCCAATAACTCTCACGACACTCACGACTCACTTGTCGCCTCCCTAGTCCCCACTATGCTCTCTCCCCCCCAAACCCCCTCTCCTTTTCGATCCGACTCACAATCGGCCAATCCTTCCCTACTTCTCACAGAAAGTTTCGTATGTTTTATTTTTTTACTAGCAAGGTATTATTCTCTTTTTTCCAAAAGAAGTGGGAGAGATAAATTACTAATTGAAGTTGAACACACCATGTTTGTTCATTTGCCGTTCTCTTACAATTCCAAACAAAAAGGGAATGAACAAAAAACAAAGAATTGTGTGCTTTTATTTAGTGTAATTGTGTTTTGTTTGAATTTTCTAAAATGGTGTTTTATGTATGGATAATTTGTATGGGAAAATTGATGTTTGACTTTTATTTTGATAGGAACTTGTTATTCTAAAATTTTTAGCACAAAAACCCATGTGTACCCATGAACCCACGGATACCCAGCGGGTTGGGTTAGGTTTGAGTTTTCCAAACCCAGTGAATTTTACCCCCGAGTTTTTTTTTTTTACGAATAAATCCATAGAGTTGGGTTTTGGTTTGGCAAAACAACCAAAACCCGATGCGTTATCATCCTAATAAGAAAGTACTAGCTAACCCCTGTTAACCATCTTATCACAGGTTTGAATATAGTTCTTCAAAATCAATCAGCTTCCTTTGGTCTAAACTTTGACCACACCTCCTTAATACTGAATCTTTCACGAGCCTCCCTTTCCAAGTCACACCCTCATATGAAATTGACATCCGATTCAGAATTTTATCTCTACTCTCTTTAACAGTTTGAGCCAAAGCCAAGATCCATCCTTGGGAACTAATATCACCTTAATGTCCAATAAAATTGAGTATTTCAAATAATTTGAAATTGTAGGATTCACATAATAAATACATTAATATAAATTATATCCGACCTGGGGTGTGCTAGGAGGCCCTTCAGCATAGGGCCTCCAAATTATGGGGCCTCCGACCCAGTGACGGCTCCCAGGACACTCATAAATTTTAAAGTGGTAGCATGACACTTTAAAATTTGGAAAACGATTATTTAACCCCAGTAGAAGTTTGCGTATGGGCAAATAAAAACATTAAATGGTATCATATGTGATTTGAACTTGGGTAAATGCTATTATTAGTAAATATATTTTTCATTGGACTACAAACTCATTAGTGCATTATTGTCATATTTTCTAGAGAGAATAAGAGATGAGATATTGTTGATGTCTCATTATTATGATTATTAAATTTGTTTGCTTCAAGTTTTTTTCATTTTCAACTTTCTAAAAAGGAAAAAGAATTCAATTTCGTCAATTAGTATGTTTGTACCAGCAAGGCAACAATGTTAAATTAATTAAATAATCTTCAATGATTTTTCTCAAATATTTTTTCATACTCTTTCATTCATCGAAAATTATTCTCCTCTTCTACTCAATTAAATTCTCATCACCTATTCAGGTGAGTCCAGTTAATTGATTAATTGTCAATTTAGTTATTATTTGGATTCTGATCTTTTATTTCATCGTTTTATTTGAACCATTATCACTCTTTATTTTAAATAATATTGTAATTTTATTTATTGATTTATTTATATTTTATTAAATTAAGAAAAAAATTGGGCATCATTTGTTTTGTAGAACAGGGGCTCTGCATTCTCAGGGTCGGCTGACGATATTCCGACCAAGCAAGGGGTGGGAGTAAATACTCCGTTTAATACACTTATATGTACCCGTACGTATTTTATCTTTTTAAAACTTCTGGATCCGTATTATTGTCAAGTCGTTTCATTTTTCCCTGTTCATTTGATGGCTCCCGTACTAAACACGTATAAAACTCGTATAACACGTTTAATATCCGTATTTAATGAATTAAATTGTTAACTTTACTATTATTTATATATTTATTTATTTTTAAAATAATTAATTTTGTATATTTATGACTATTAACGTACTATTAAACGTAACATTAACTTAGAAACGACCTAAAATATTCATACGTATTTTATACATAACTTTCCCGTATTGTATTTTACTAACTATAGGTGGGACACACTCACACAAGGGAGAAAAAGTAAAGATTATTCGTAAAATAGGATGAGAAGAGAAGTAGAGAACACGACCGGAAAGGATTGCCCGATAGAAAGCGCGCGCAAAGAGAGCTGAGCAATGGTGGTGACTGGTGAGATGAGATGTAAGTGGTAATCGATAAGGAGCGCATCATCATCGACAAAGCCAAACATCACACAACCCTCCAAAAACCCTGAAGCACAGAAATAATCGGAACCCTAATCCAATTCAATCCACAAACAAATTTCCGCCCTCATTATTTTCTCTCGCAAATTTCAAATAAATCTTCCGCCACCCAAAATGCCGTTCCCTTTATCTCCTTCCTCTCACTTGGCGCTGCTGCGTTCCTTTCATCCACTCCCACTCCCCCACACCATTGTTCAAAAACTATCTTACCACACAGGAGAAACGGAACCAAGTGCACTCCAATGGCGATGGCTATGCCGCTGCTTCGCCGGCTCTCCTCTTCTCTCAACCACCCTACCCGCCCTTTCCTCACTCCTCTCTGTTACAAGGTTTCTCCCCCGCTCCACTCTCACTCCATCCCCCATTATCATATACATGTTTCAATTACGACTGATGCTTTTTCCTTCTTGGTTAGTCTTCCTTGCCTGATGAAGCTGTTTACGAGAAGGAGAAGCCCGGCGTCACCGTAAGCCTCCCGCTGTTACTGAATTGCTGCTTTTCCTAACTTTCATATTTGGCGATTGGATTCGCCGTCTTCTGTTTCGATTTACTCTGCTTGCTGTTTTTTTTTTCTTCTCCCTCGTTCTGCAGTGGCCGAAGCAGCTCAATGCGCCGCTGGAAGTCGTGGATCCTGAGATTGCTGACATCATCGAGCACGAGAAAAATCGTCAGTGGAAGGTACGTATATTACTTTGCTCAGCTCGTTCTGCGTTTACGATCGATAATTGAGCTGATGATGTTGCTAGCTTGTTTGGAAGTCAGACAGTATGAACTCCTTTTTCTCATAAAGTTCGGCTGCTCGAGTTGCCATTTCGCTGTATCAGCTGTCTTTTGGGTGTAGTTAGTGAGCCGACATAATCAATATATAGCTATTTCACCAATCAATTTTGGATTCGTCAGACGGTTTAGGGCTCCAAGTGTGCTACCCGTCCTTTGTTGATTCTGGATTATGTATCTTGTTCTCGTTGTTCAATAGTCACAACGCGTGATAGTAACTTGACTATGCATTTCTTCTGTGAAGGGCCTGGAACTCATACCCTCAGAGAACTTCACTTCGTTATCAGTGATGCAAGCAGTTGGATCCGTCATGACCAACAAGTATAGTGAAGGATACCCTGGTGCTAGATACTATGGAGGGAACGAGTGAGTCTTCGCGCACTCTCTAATCTCTTCTTTTAATGGTGCTGTGTTATCTATCTTGCCAGAAATATTGTGGTTGACTGCTATGTCACCATCATTAGTAACTTTTCATGGTGTTATGCTACACAAACATTTTCAAGGTGCTGTAGTTTCTCTTTATGGCGGGATTTTATATCATAGCATAATGAAACCTCTGATTTTCAGGTACATTGACATGGCAGAGTCCTTGTGTCAGAAGCGTGCACTGGAAGCGTTCAGGTTGGATCCTGCAAAATGGGGAGGTATGCTCAATTTTTGACATATCAGTTTTATGACGGTTGAGACCATGAATCGACATGATTTGTATCTTTAAGCCGTATGGAAAATTGCTCAATCACCTGAGTTCTCTCAGCAATTAGTTTATGTTAATAGTGTTTATGACTTCATTATCCCCTTCCATGTTGTAGTTAATGTGCAGCCACTATCTGGTTCTCCTTCCAACTTCCAAGTCTACACTGCCTTGTTGAAACCTCACGACAGAATAATGGCTCTTGATCTTCCTCATGGTGGGCATCTTTCCCATGGTTATCAGGTATTCAAAATTTTCATCATACTTATTTCTTAAGTTGTCATAATTATATTTCAACCTTTCATCTGCAATAGTTGATTTGGTATGAACAAGCTGTCCCACTATGCTCTGAATGTACGTGAGAGCTGAATTATTTCCTTCTCTTCCATTGTACAGACAGACACCAAAAAGATATCTGCAGTGTCAATATTTTTTGAGACAATGCCATACAGGCTGAATGAGAGCACTGGCTACATTGACTATGAGCAGGTACCTAATTGAACTCCAAATTAATATCGTGCTATCTCCATATGCGTTGGTTCCTGGGTGGATAAATATTTGCAGACTTCTACCTAGGATCATAAAACTATGATAAGAACCTCACTTGAAAAGTAACACACTGCAGATGGAGAAGAGTGCCACTCTTTTCAGACCAAAATTGATAGTGGCCGGTGCTAGCGCATATGCTCGCCTTTATGATTATGCATTCATTCGAAAGGTATATCCTCCTCACTGGATTTCTTGTATCCAATTTGCATAGCTAATCCGGGGCTTGTACTTATTACATATGCTTTTCAGCATGCCTTATATGTGTTTCCAACTGAATATTGACAGGTCTGTGACAAACAAAAGGCCATAATGTTGGCAGACATGGCTCACATTAGCGGGCTGGTTGCGGCTGGTGTGGTCCCATCACCATTTGATTATGCAGATGTGGTGACCACCACAACCCACAAGTCCCTTCGTGGCCCACGTGGAGCCATGATTTTCTTCAGGAAGGGAGTTAAAGAGGTCAACAAACAAGGAAAGGAGGTGTGCCTTTGAACAATGTTGAATTGTTGTGTGCTTGTGCCAGTGTTTCTCATAACAAAAAGACCGGGTAGGATCCAGTGCTTAAGCATATATGTTTAAGCATTTTGCTTAAGCCATTCTATTGGTTGATAGTAGATTAGGTAGTTAATAAGAGGTTAGTAATTAATATGTAGTTGAGATAAATAAGGTATTATGCTTATATAATTAATATTAATAATTTATTATTCTCTTTCTCTCTCCTCCCATAACTTTCTCCATAACCCTTTCTATTCACTACAATTAAAAGGAAACCCGAAATTAGATTTTAATATTTAATAAAATTCAAACTTAACAAAATTTTCTCTTTTTAAAATAGAAATTAAAAATTAAAATTTGCTCTTTCACTTCGTGACAACTTGCAATGTAGTATTAACGTTTTGCAATGACATTATCAACGTTTATGAAATATATCATTATTACTATATCTTATCATTATTAACAATTTCAATATAAGTATCAATTCTTTGCAATGATATTATTAACAATTTTGAATAAATCGTAACCGTTTTACATTTTCATCATCAACGTTTATGAATGAATCATTGATTTACAACATCTTTACTAATGATTCACAATATCATTGATTCACAACATTAGCATTATTGATACTATTAGTAATGATCTCTCAAAGACTCACTCGTTTGACAAACAAACAACAACTTATATCATGATACATCAAACGTTGATAGTGTTCACTATTAACAGTACATGACAAAATTGTAAATATTTTAGGTCAATTGTTAAACGTTTTGAAACTATTAGTGATTATATACTTTCACGTTGTTAACGTTTTGATAAGAGTTGCTTAACATTTTTAACGTAAACGTGAAGTTCTCATTCCATAAATTTCATTGAAAATGAAAATTATAATGTTTTAGGTGAATTTTTAACAATTTTCATACAATTAGTAATGATATACTTTAACAACATTTTGGTGGGAGTTGCTTAACGTTTTTAACGTGAAAGTGAAATTGTAAGTTGTAACAACTACGTGATATCATGTTTAGGCAATTTAGTATGAAAAGTAAAAAGGGGTAAAGTAATCCTATGTTGATTTTTTTTAAAATGTAAGCTCCCTTTTTCCGCATGTAGAAAAGGAATAAATAAATCAATCAAATTCCGGGAAGCTTCATGAAGTGCTTCTTTAGGAGTTAGTACATTAAAAAACAACACCTGACATCATGATATATTAAACATAGATAACGACATTTTAAATTGTTAATAATGTAAGTATATTTATTAATAATTCACTAAAAATTGATAATGCTCGGCTATAATGATTAGAATCTTAAATATTTTATTACTTTAATAACAATTTACATTACACCAACGATGATAACATTACATTAGATTGTTAACAATAAGTCTAAACCCATTAACAAACAAAAAAAATGATTTAGGAGACGATGATAACATTTTTGTATATCGTTGAAAATTCATAGTAAAAAAATTGATAGCAGTAGCTTGGATTGATAACAATGAACCAATAAAAGTTGATGGTATAATTGTTGGACATTATTTCATAAACGTCGATAACAACAATAAAAACAAATAGGAAACTTTATCAAGAAGTTTATAAACCTCACGTCCAAATTGGAAAACATATGCTCCTAGGTTGATAGAGATGCAACAAACCGTTAATAATGTAACAAAAATTTATTGATAACCAAAACATCAAAAACCAAAACATTATGTTTTTATTGAATATAAAAATATTTATTATCAACTAAATATAGTATTTATCAATGATTTAGTGTGTTCTTATTAAAGGTTACTAACACAGTTTTATTGAATACAAAAACATTGATAATAAAGTATAAAATTAATAATGTCATAAATAGTTTTATTAACAATTCATGTAAAAGTTGATAATAACGATTGTTAAACATTTGATAATGAAAACTATATGTACACACATGACATGACGTTACTAGTTAATGAAATATTGACAATGTTAAATATAAACACCAAACAAGTCTAATAAACAATTAATGACTATGTTTTGGGAGCTCATTACTAATAGTATCAATAATGATAATGTTGTGAATCAATGATATTGTGAATCATTAGTATAGATGTTGTAAACCAATGACTCATTCATAAACTTTGATGATGCAAATGTAAAACGGTAACGATTGATTCAAAATTCGTAATAATATAATTGTAAAGAATTGATACGTATATTGAAATCGTTAATAATGGTATAGCAATAATGATTTATTTCATAAATGTTGATAATGTCATTGCAAAACGTTAATACTACATTGCAAGTTGTCACGAAGTGATAGAGCGGATTTTTAATTTCTATTTTAATAAGGGGGGAAATTATGAAGTTCGAATTTATTAAATATTACAATCTAATTAAATTAATTTCGGGTTTCCTTTTAATTGTAGTGGAGAGAGGGTTATGGAGAAAGTTATGGGAGGAAAGAGAAAGAGAATAATCAATTATTAATATTAATTATATTTGCAATGCCTTATTTATTTTCAACTACCTATTAACTACTAACTCTTTATTAACTACCTAATCCACTATCAACCAATAGAATAACTTAAGCAATATGCTTAAGCTTTTGGGCTTAAGCATAGGAACTCAGGCCAAAAAGACGTACTGATCCTCAGGCTGTTCTTTGTAGTAGTGGTGTTGTTTTTGGTATAGTTGCATCATTTATGATTCACTATGTAACGGATTAATGTTTTTTTGTTTTTGTTTTTTTCCTATGATGAACTAACAGACATGTTTACTCTGTTTTCATCAAGGTGTTGTATGACTATGAAGACAAAATTAACCAAGCTGTCTTTCCTGGACTTCAAGGAGGTCCGCACAACCACACAATCACTGGTTTAGCAGTTGCATTGAAACAGGTGATGAGTCGACTCCTTATGCATAATCAAATGTCAATACACCAGAACAATCTTGGACATTTCGTGTCTGCATTTCCTTATCTGTTTTTGCTAATAATTGAAGTAAAATAGAGTTCACGAAAACATGCTTAGATTGCATATAATATATGTATGAGAACAATCATTGATCTACTCATTCACGATTTGTGCAGGCTACAACCCCTGAGTACAAAGCTTATCAGGAACAAGTACTCAGAAATTGCTTCAAGTTTGCTGAGGTACAACCCAACGGAGTCAAGGAAACTTGTCACGGAAACAAGATCATGAAATATATGCTTTATTTGCATGCAGCCTGGAAATTTAGGAGAAAATATGTTGTTTTCCTCATCAGTGCTGCATTAATGTATAATATTTCCTCCATGCTTCAAAATCTTTGTATTTCTAATTTTGCAGGCTTTAGGGGAGATGGGATATGAACTAGTTTCCGGTGGAACTGAAAACCACTTAGTTTTGGTGAACTTGAAGAACAAGGTAAAAAAAAAAACTTAGTTTTCTTGTTGCAATTACATAAAGGAATGCAGCTAGTTCTCTTCAAGTAGGAAATCGGGTCTGTGAGATGGAAAATAACTGCATTAATATTGCTTTTTCGGTGTTTCTGTTTATACAGGGTATTGATGGCTCCAGGGTCGAAAAAGTGTTGGAAGCTGTTCACATTGCTGCAAACAAGAACACAGTTCCGGGGGATGTGTCTGCCATGGTTCCTGGTGGCATCAGGATGGGTAACAGCTTTTTTCGTTTTGTGGATAGAGATGGATTAAGGGTCTTAACTGATAGTGGGAATTCCTCTTTTCCTTCATATATCCAAAGATTCTTATGAAGCCATTGTCTCCACAGGAACCCCAGCTCTTACCTCTAGGGGATTTGTTGAGGAGGATTTTGTTAAGGTTGCTTACTTCTTCGATCTTGCTGTTAAGATTGCAGTGAATATTAAAGCTGCGAGCACAGGTTCGTAAAATCCTCCATCGATCTTACACTACAATGTCCAATGGCTTTCAGTTGAGCTGCACAGTATCCGTTGAGCAATGTGTCTATCTCATTTAAGATTTTGACTTTTAGAGTTCACATAATTCCTTTTACTTCTGGGAAACCAGGGACAAAGCTGAAGGACTTCGTAGCGGGGATGCAGTTGGCCAATTTCCAATCTGAGATTGCCAAGCTCCGCCATGATGTTGAAGAATACGCGAAGCAGTTCCCGACAATTGGCTTTGAGAAAGAGACCATGAAGTACAAAAGCTGAACAAGGCGCCCGTTGCTGCTGCATGAGGTATAAGCATCGGTAGATTTTCATTTGCTAGTTATGAAATGAAAGCATAATGTCGTCTCATTGAAAGGCAGCATTAGTACATTTGGATTCAACATGAGACAATGTTGAAAGACGAGTAGTCATCTTCTCTTACACTCGATGCTAATATTTGATTGTCAGTGGAGCAGGTTGGAAGGGTTTGCCAAATGAATGCTTATCTTCCAAGACATCTTACATCCAAGTCATGAAGCCATTATGTATGAGATGTAAATGTTGGCCTTTCTTGTATTACGATTTACGAATGCCTGTAAAGCAACGAAACCGACCACGGTTTATGTCGATACTAAATATATACAGAGAAAGGCTAATTAGTTGGTGATGAAATGCAAGAATAAACGTATGCACCCCTGCTTCATCCTCGTTAGTTCTTTATCTTATTTTGATCTCATATGTAACAGGTTTTGGGTTTTGGTGAGACATAATGTAATACTTTGTGAGAACTTCTGAGTTAAACGTGCTCAGTGTGGAGTACAACAAGAATGGGTGACCTTATTAGAAGTCACCTTGAATTGCACCCAAGTCGAAAACAGTGAGGGTCGAGACCCAAAGCGGACAATATCTTCGCCGAGAAAATGTTCTGGATGTTACAAGTGGTATTTGAGTCTCTTTGTGCCCCTCTTGAATGATGGTGGGACAAATATCAACACTGACGTTGAGTCGGGGGGGGGGGGGGGGGGGGTTATGTAACAGGTTAGGCAAATCCCACATCGGTAATACACGGGAGAGATCCATGGTTCATAAGTAAGAAACCAACATTAACTGACAAGACGCATTTTGGGGTGAAATGAAGGAGTTCTCACAAGAACTCCTAAGTTAAACGTGCTGGGTGTGGAGTACAACAATAATGGGTGACCTTATGAGAAGTCACCTTGAATTGCACCCAAGTTGAAAACCGTGAGAGTCGAGACCCAAAGCGGACAATATCTTCGTCAAAAAAAGGTTCGGAATGTTACAAGTGGTATCAGAGCCTCTCTGCGTCCTTCTTGAATGATGGTGGAGCAAAACTCAACAAGGGAGGGGGGGGAGGAGGTGTATGTAACAGTTTAGGCAAATCCCACATCGACAAAGCACGGGAGAGATCCATGGTTCATAAGTAAGAAATCGGCCTTAACTAACAAGACGCGTTTTGGGGTGAAATGAAAGAGTTCTTGCGAGAACTCTGAAGTTTAACGTGCTCAGTGTGGAGTAGAACAAGGATGGGTGACCTTAAAGGAAGTCACCTTGAATTGCACCCCAAATCAAAAATCGTGAGGGTTGAGGCCCAAAACCGACAATATCTTCGTCGGGAAAAGGTTCGGGATGTTACACAAAATCATCTTCAATAATAGGTTAAAAAATCAAAAGTTCAAAAAAAAAAAATCTTTCAGTTCTCTCTTTCTTTCTCTGCTCTTTTTCTCTCCTCCCCCAAAAGAAACAAAATTGAAACATGTGACATCCTAAAATTCTAGATCTAAGATTTCAATTTTGTTCTTCTACATCTCTTGTTCGTGTTCTGGTCAAGGATTCATTCTAGAAGGGATATGGATCTAACATACCATTTTTACCCCTCTCAACCCATGTATCTTGCTCTTGTTCTTCCTGGTTAGGGTTCCTTTTTCTGTAACCTCTCTCATTTGCTCACTCCATCTCTCGTCTTTTTTACTGTTGTGAATGAGAGGAAGACGACGAAGTCTTTGGTCTACATGAACAATATAAATGCAAGCCCTATCCTCTGATTCATCATTAGCCCTTGTGCTATTTTTACTCTTTATTCCAGAAACTAATCACCAACAAAAGGAAGAGGATTGATCTGAGTACATACACAAACATCCTTTTGGAGTATTCTAAATACTAGTCGTAAACTTATGGAATATGTGTATTTTTTTATGCTTGCATATTTTTTTTAGTAAACACTCAATATCAATTAACTTGGTATTGAATATTAGTTTTCCTGATATCAAATACAAGTTACAACATGTTTTGACTAATAAAACCAAGTTAAAAATGTAATTAGTATATGTGACATTTATGAATAGAACGATGAATACTAGTTCAAACCTACAGAAAACTAGTTTCTGAATGATGAATACTAGTTCAAACATACATAATACTAGAATACAAAATATTGGTTGTAAATGTGGTGAATACTGGTTGTTACATGTTGAATATGTACTGTGCTTGTTTCTGGAATATTTTTCGTCTATGTGACGAATATTTGTTGACCTGTTTTTCAATAATGACTCGTGTGATTATAAATATTGGTTTGAAATCTATGAATATGTGTTCATTTTTGTGAAATATCTATTGGTCTTGAAGACCTCAACAATCAGTGGCAGATCGCTTAAGACATCATCATATATTAGTTGAACTATTATTGAATACTAGCATCCTTGCCCACGCTCTGCGCCGGGATAAGTGTTATATTTTTAATACAATAAGAGAACAAAAACAACAACACACAAACACATAGTAATCAGTCTCTAAAACAAAATCTTCACCTTTTTTTTATATCATTCTCCCAGCAACAGTAGAATTATGCATCACAGTTTGAGAGTTGAGGTTTCACCAAGTAATAACATGAGCATGAAATCAAACAAAAAGTACATGTCTTCAGTTTGGTCATTAACTAATTGCTTGTAACAACATTGCTCAATCTCCAATGAAGAAGTTTTAATCCACAGTTGAACGTCGCTTGTTCAGAATTACCAAATTTCCTATCATCCATTTGGTAGCCATCGTTTCTCTTTGTAGATAACTGAAACAAAAATGGGGAGAATTATATGATGAGTTGGCCTACTATTATTGCTCAAAACTTAAAAAGTCGGAGCATTTTTACAGCCTTTGAGATTTGTGTTGTAAACAAATCGAGTGAAAGCAATAATAAACGATCCAAAATGATGGTAACCTAGAAAACCTCAAACCTCAAGACTACCTAAAAGGAGTAAACAGGGGAAATAAGCTGTTCACCCACAGTAGCATAAATATCACACTGAAGCTCTTGGAGTCACCTAATAAGTAACCAATTTTATTTCAACCTGAACCTTAAAATTACTCACACATCCACAAATAGTCATAAGAATACACCCTAACTGCTACCAAAAAATGACTAAAATGAAACTTAAGACCCTGTCTCTGTCTATAAGCGTAAGGCTACCTTCTCTAAACCCTCCAATCAAGAATATATCCATTAAAGGACACAACATGAGCAGTCTTCAAAAATAGAAATTAAAATTACAGATGGCAGGGGGAAAATCCCAAAAGTTAAAAATGCAATGCAATACTTACTAAGCATCTGCATGCATCGAGATATTCGAAGTGTTAGCTTAAGGAGCAAATCAAAATAAGAACAATCGATCAAAATATATAGAAACTGCTTTTCAAGCACAGCAACCATCCTACACAATCAAAGAGAGATAAAAATTTGATTCCAATCAAAAACTTTCCTGAGGCCACTTGAAACAAATATACTGAGCACGTAAAAAATGGACTGACAATCAGAATGGCCATCAATCGCTAGCCGGACTTGAGTCCCCTGCACACAACGATCGGTTCGGAGCACTCAAACAAAATCGGGCGTGATAGAAAAAAGTCACCAAGAAAGCAAGAGATCGGTACCTCAATCGATTGATCCGACCCGAGACTCTGCCCGCAACAAATCTGGAATATAGAAAAAGAACACTGATTCATAATATACTACTAAATGGATCTTTGAGTTTAAAAAAATTGCCGAGTAGATCTGGAATGGAATGGAGAGAATTCATAGTGAAATAGTATTAACTGTTTGAGAACGACTTACTAAAAGGGGGCCTTATGATGGAAGAGAATCGGAGTTACAGCTGAGTTTCCCAACAAAGATAATGAAGGCCTTGAGCTTCCATGCATTCCTCTCCTTTCCAGAGGCTCTGTATGGCTTTTTTGTATTGAATTTGCGGTTCTCATCACCGCTAAATTACAGTTCCCTCCGCCCATCAATAAATCATGAGTTGCTTCCCCATTTCTCACTGGGGGAATCCTCCTCCACTGCATCCAGGGTCTAAATCTATACCAAGCTCCACACCGCTTGCTCCTTAAACCACCCAAACATCAAATGAGGAAAAGAGTCAACAAACTCATTAAAGACCAAACAACCCCATTTGAGAGAGTGAGAAAGAGACGACAAATTCATCAAGAGGCCAATCACCTAAAATAAGAGAATGACCCAAGTAACGTGCAAATCCAATGAAAGCGTAGCAATATTTAGTGTGTTCCCATCAGAACAATCCACCACTTTTTACAGAACACAACTATCCGGAAGCTATCAGAACCTCAACCCCAAAGCTTAAAAGCACAAAAACCAAAGAAAAATCGTCAAAATCAAAGAGCATAACCATTCACATCGAGATAGGCAGATAACAATTATTGTCAACATTGATAAATTTTACTTCTCGTAATCACCTCAAATGAAACGGTTCCTGGCGCTCCTCGGAACCCTTCCCAGACTTCTGCAATCTGCCATTGATGCTTTGATCCTCGCACCGCTTAAAAAACCAGAAGAACAGAATCAACAATGATAAGAGAAAGCATAACAGAGAGAAGAAATGAGAGGAGGAGGAATGATAAAGTGAGAGTCGTTCAAAAGCAATGAAGGAAGAAGCTGATATAACCCTTTCTCTATCTTCTCTCTCCCACTGAGAGGCAACTCTGATGAGTGGTGATGTAAACCAATTAGAGAGAAAAGTAGGCATAGAGAATTGCGCCGGTTAGATAAAATTGATGGACCAAAATCAAATAGCAACGTGGCTTCTTACTCGCCAAGCATGCTACAAAATATCTATGCTTCTCTCACTGGCTCACCCAGTGCGCTCACCTCTCTTCTCGCCTCACCAAAACCTCACGCCGATCAACGCATAGAGAACTGGGCCCCAATCAAAGCAAGCCAAAGAAATAAAAATAGAGCAGACAGATACATTCCATCATAATAGAATCCCATAGTGCTTTATGGCCTTAACGTGTCCAGTCAGCCGACTTGTGACCAACGCGATTTTACTCTCAACCTCCTCCAGCTAAGGGTTTCGCAAAGATATCAGACGAAGAAAAACAGCAGCCTCACAGAAATTGCAGAGCCCAAATCGGGGCCCACGCCAAAGCAACAACCAATCAGAACTCGGTGAACAGGAAAATTGAGTCTATATCAAGGTTGTCAACCCGCGGGTCGACCCGCGGGTCAACCCGGATTGACCCGGACCCGCCCCAAAAAACGGGCCAATGCAACCCTTTTGACAGTCAGCCCGGATCTGGTCAAACCCGGGAAAACCCGGTCAAACCCGGCTAACCCGGGCGGTTCGCCCGTTCAGAGCGGGTCACTGGGTTCTTCTTCATACGCGCCGTTTGACAATGGCACGGCGTCGTTTTGGCCGGGAGAAGGCGGAGGGCAAGTGAAAAAAAACCCTACCAACACTGATTCCTTCGTCGGGCCTCTTCATTCTCGCGGCGCAGCTCTGCCTCCTACACCCCACAGGCGCCGCTCGAGCTCCGCTCCCCTTCGTCATCGTCGGGCCTCGTTCCCCTTCGTCGGCGGCAGGCCTGGTTCCCCTTCGTCGGCGGCAGGACTCGCTCCAGCTCCGCTCCACAGCCGCTCGAGCTCTGTCCGACCAAGCTGAGTTTCGCCGCGCTGCCATCTGCCTTCGACCAACTCGCGCCAGCTCCAGCTTCAGAAAATGAAAAGAGAGAAATAGAAGAAGAAGCTGGCGGCAGGGGCGCAGGGCAGAGAGAGTTGGGGGTAGGTAGGGTTTGTCATTTGTGTTAGATTGGGTGGAATTTTACAAAATGCTCCATTAAATTAAAATTTATTTGTAGTTCCTCAAGTTTCAAAACACTATATTATAATCCTATACCTTAAATTAAACTATATTTCCCCTCCCCTTTTGTTGTTTAATTAATAAATCATTTTATTTTGCTGGTATATATAAGTCAATTAATTATTCACAATTCTACATTAGAATACTATTATTTTGGAGTAATGTTATATGTTATTATTCATCTGAAATTGGTTATATAATAAATTTATGTATGAAAAATAATAACTTTTCTCATATATCCGGGTTAATCCGGGCTAAACCGGGCTAAACCGAGTGACCCATTAACCCTTGACCCACTAGCTTATCCGGGTCCGGGTCGACCCACGGGTTGACAACCTTGGTCTATATGAATAGTAAAAACAGTCTGAATGTACAGTGCAAGGTGTTTTGAGCTATTATACTTTTAATGAGAATTGATTTACTTGACTTGAATATGTATTGGGTAAACACGAAATATCAATTAAGTTAGTATTGAATATGAGTTTATATGGTATTAAGTATTAGTTCAACTAGTACCAAAGATAATCGATTTATTTAACTTGAATATTTGTTGAGTAAACATTGAATATCAGTTAGGCTCATTTTTTACCCGAGATTAAATATTAGTTGCACTAGTATCGGAGATGAGAATTGGTTGACACTCATATGCCCAATGTCATTATTTGCACCTTGCCTAGTTCACTTAGACCACAACATATATAATCAGGTTAACTCATATTTTGTGTTAAGATCACTTATATTCAATATCAGGTAAACACATATTAACCACAACGTAAAATAATATTTTGCATCCCACAAATGTTTTTTTCTTTCGCATGTTGACCGCCACACCTGGTAATGGTCTTTCACAATATCAGGATCATGGATCAGGCTCATTCATGAGTATTGATCCAATTCCAACCAGATATTCCGAACGCTGAAAATATGTTTTGACTGCCACCTTGGCATTGAAAGAATCAGCCATATCAGGAAGTAAATGCACAATAGTAATCGTTACCTTTTATTGAGTCTGAGAACTGGGTGTATGCAAGTGCCAAACTCATGAACCCTAGCTGAATTCAGATAAACACACTCAATATATCTATCGACACGCAATGGATCAAGGAACTAAACACAGGAATTTTCCTTCCTAGAAAATAACCCTGAAGTGAAGTAGTTATAACGAAGAAGATACAACTCTAGGTAGTCATGAGATTTCGTACTACCCTGACCAAATTCCAAGTTCACGGACAATTCTTGCCTGTAGTTGCTCCCCTCTTTGTTCCAACAATGGTTCAGGGAAGGAAAGCAGAATTTACTAAAACATGAGAATCTTGTGACCTGCAGGTTTCATAAGCATAAAATGCTGTGGTGGAAAAGGGCAAACAGATAGCTCCTCAATAACTTGGATATCAGATGATCAATGGTATCCAGATGAAACAGGTTGCCAGAGCATAGCCAGAGCATCTCCCGATAACTACACAACAGGCCACGATAAAGTTAGATATTTCTACATTGGTAACGCTGAGAAGAGATGTTACAGCTTGCCAACAACTCCGGACCACGACTACTTGATAAGAGGCACATTCCCTTTCAGCAACACAGTACTAGGGTCGGAATCCCCTACCTTTGATGTCTTGGTTGGTGTAACACCAATAGGTTTGGTGGACTCTTCAGGAGAATCACAAGTTGAAAGCATCTTCAGAGCTACTGATCAGTACACAGATTTCTGTTTGGTGCAAGAAACAGGAGATCCTTACATTTCACAGATTGAATTGAGGCCCCTGTATGATGATTCAAGTTACCTGGATGGAAAAGATTCTGCGGTCCTCCTGAAATTGGTGGACAGAGTGGATTTGGGAAACAGCGGGAATACAATCAGGTACTTGTTGAGCTCTTTTTTATTTTTAATTATCTGCTCAAAGACCAATTAAGCACATTCGATTGAAGAGATAAGGCTACTGACAAGCATCCTTTTCTGGAACTCTTCCATCAAATATTAAGGTTTAAGAGCTAAATTAGGTTCCAGGCACCAATTAGGATACATACCATCTGCCACAACTACTGGACCATGGCCAGCGTTTCATTAGCTCTAGCACAGCAATTGCAACCTTTCCATTTATCAATATCTGCAAGTTTACACGTTAGTATTCCAGGATCAGATATTTACTTCCCTTCGGGATCGGTTAGCATGCTAACCCTTGTATAGGTTGGCAAAATGACAACCCCTATTAATTATAGGTTTTTAAGGTAATTAATTTGTGTTGCATTTAATAATCTGTATGAATTAAAAACACATGTTAATTACTTTCCTTTTTTCAGTGCACTGGTAGTTGTATCAGTGCACTGGTATACTAAACTCATATTAATTACGTTCCTTTTTTGGAACTACCATTGCCGTGATACATCTACCATTTCACCTGTACACAACTACCAGTAGGGCTGGGCATGCGGGCGGATCATCCGCGGGTTTGGGCCGACCCACCCGCATTTGACCCGAATTTCGTTAAGTGGGTGGGTCTATGGGTGGGTGACGGGTTGCGCTGGAAGCCATCCGCCGGGTGGTGGGTGGGTTGTGGGTGGGTGCGCGGGTGACCCGCTCAACCCAACAGCAAAAAGATCAAAGTCGTCGGCGCTAGAGAGGGGAGAGTGGAGACGTTAGACATAAACTAGGACTGCTCCTGGAGTTTGAACCTCAAAGCCAACCTTCCAAATAGCGATCCCCTCTTCTTCCCTTTATTTTTTCCTCTAATTCTTGTGCCTAGATCACTGCTCTTTCCTTTGTGGAATTATTTTTCTTAGTTCCTTGCACCTGATAATCATCTCAATCTGTAGAAAACTCTTTCATAATAGAATTTCTATCCGTTTTAAGAACTAATTCGACATTTTTCGCCCTATTTCATCTTCTTGTTTCCCCAGATAATTCTCTTCGCCTATTATCATGTCAAGTTGACTCCTTTATATTATATACATTGTGATGTGGGTGAACCCACAAACCCACCCAAATCATCCACCATCCGCCCGACCCAACCCGAGACTAAATGTGGGTGGGTGGTGGGTTAAAAATTATCAATCCGTTTAAGCGCGGGTGGGTGCATTTTATGGTCAAAATCCACCCGACCCACCCAATGCCCACCCCTAACTACCAGTGCACTGATACAACTACCAGTGCACTGAAAAAAGGAAAGTAATTAATATGTGTTTTTAATTCATACAGATTATTAAATGTAACACAAATTAATTACCTTAAAAACCTATAATTAATAGGGGTTGTCATTTTGCCAACCCTTTTATGGGTAGGCATGCTTTCTCATCCCCTTCCCTTCCCATAAGTTTTCATGCATCTTGAGACTCGAATGACTGCAAACTGCTCCATATGTTTTCACAGCCTATGATAGTACAGCCAGGAAAATTTAGAGAGATATCCAACCGGCGAATTAAAAATTGCAGAGCATGCATCACAAATCACCTAGAATAACTTAGCAACTTCCATTATCCAGACCACCTGTCATGCACATGATCCAGTGCTCGCATTTACAACCAAACAATACTAAACATTCAAATCATTTTGCCCCTTTCCACAAAGCGAATAGGAAACTTTTCCACTCCATTGCTAGCATCTTTCCAGTCCTGCTCGATAGTCGATACATATACACAAAGACACAAAACTATTCAACTTACATTCTCCATGTTATATGGTACAGGTTCCCAGATGATCCAAATGACAGACTGTGGACAAGTCCCGATACAGAAAGAGTCAGTTTGTCTGCAATAACCGCAATCAACAATACCATCTCCAAGGCTGCTGCAAAAGTGCCTCTCAAAGTTCTCGAAACTGCAATAACAAATGAATACAGTTTCCAGTTCTTGTACATTGATCTTGAAACAAGGGATTGCAACTATACTATCTTTCTCCACTTTTTTGAGCTAGATGACAATGTTAGGCCTGGCCAAAGAGTGTTTGACATCTATCTCAACAATGAAAAGCAGAAAGCAAACTTTGACATACGGGAAAAGGGGTCAAACTACAGTGAAGTTGCTCTCAACGTTACAGCAAATGGTTCTCTAAACTTGACCTTAGCCAGGGTCGAGAACAGATCCAAATTTGGACCTATCCTAAATGCATATGAGATCATGCAGATTCGTAAATGGGTCCAAGGAACTAATCAAAGAGATGGTATGTATGTTCAATTGCTTTTCCTATTGATAAGTACGTCTAGTGGTGACTTGGTGGTTTCACATTCAATGTCCCCATCAAACGCAATCCCTACTACATATGCTGATATTGGGTCTGCATGCCCCTTCTATTAAAGCTATAATCTCAGCTTTAAAATCCAGATGAACCATATTTCATTATGCGAATTGTACACTATAGTTGATTGTATTTACCTTCCCACAGAAGAAAAACAATTATCAACAATTAACTTATTGCTGACTGGTAATTTACGTTTTCCACCTTCCAGTGAGAGTGATGGATAGGGTGAAAGATGGGCTGCTGCAGCAAAACAAGGAGAACAAGAAATTGGAGGGCTGGTCAGGAGATCCATGTCAGCCTTCTTCTTGGGATGGTCTTGCCTGCCACTACAGTAATGGGTCCACTATCATCACTAAGCTGTAAGTTTTAACTTGCTACATTGCAGAGACCATGTGTTGCCACAGTAAGCAAAGACTGTCCAAACACCTGGGCAGTTGTTGCTTCTGTCATTTAGATCTTTTGAGCAGCTTGTACTAAATGTACCACGTGTCCTTACAGGGATATCTCCTCAAGTCAACTTCTAGGGCAAATTCCCACCGTGATTTCTCAGCTAACCTACCTGAAGGAACTGTAAGATTGGTGATATCAACTCTGTATATAATATCACATATTATCGGGGTCTCTAATACATTCCTCTATTACTGTGGTATTCAGGAACCTCAGCAACAATGGGTTCACAGGCAAGATTCCAGAGTTCCCAAGGTCATCTATGTTGACAGCAGTGTAAGTTCCTACTCCAAGCTATGTTCCTAAGGCAGTAAGACCACAGAAAGCCTATTTCCAAACTTGTTCAGAGAGAGATATTAAAAACTGCAACTACAAGCAAATGCTGTCGAGATGGAAGCTGTAGTCATACAAAAGCTAAATTCTTGCAAGTTTCTTTGACAATCTAAATTCTTGCAACCATCTCATCTGATTAATCCATGATCACCAGGGATCTAAGCTACAATGACCTTTCTGGGAGTCTTCCAGGCACTTTAGTTACATTACCACATTTGACAACGCTGTAAGTTCATGTTATCAACTGTTAGCCTTTTCCTTTCCTTCAAAAGGAGCACAGATCTAAACATTGTCACCTGTTGGAAGCTTAACCATTTCACATTCCATGATTACCAGAAATTTTGGATGCAATGTTCATGTCAGTGCAGATCCTTCCACCTTTAATCGCTCAAGACTCACAACAGAGTATGACATCCTTCATATGTTCCAGTCAGTACTCTATTTTAACTTAGCATCAGGTAATTGATTGAAGAAAACCTCGCATGTTTTACTTTAATGTTTCAGCTCTAGGGAATGTGCCAGGCCAGGATCTCCAAGTAAACACAACCGCGTTGTTATTGCTATTGTATGTGGATCTTTCCTAGTAGCGGCAGCTGTTGCAGCTGCTTGTCTCTGGCTCTGCAGAAAAAAACTCGGAAATTGGCAATGTATGAATGGAAAACAACTCTTAATGTCAAAGGGTAAGCAGATCAACTATCTCCCACCTAATATTAATACAGTTGGAAGAAAGAACACAGAGAGCATCTTGAAAGCTTTGTTTCAGATGTTCCAGTAATTAGAGAGCAGAAAGCTACAGACACATGCATATCACGTGATAACATCCATATACCCTCAGACATTGGAACTTATTCAACATCGCACACTATGAGTAACCACCCCTCAGCCATTGTTTCCCAACTACTGCAAGAGAAAATCCTTCAAAAAACAGATTGATTACCAAATTAAGCACTGGTTACTACTGTAAGAATGAGATCCAAATATTACCATGTCACTCTGCAGGTGCAGTATACTCCATAGCCACGACCAATGAGGACCCCTTGAAGACTATAAATATTCAAATGTTCACTCTAAGTCAGATTGAGAATGCAACCCAAAAATATAAGACTCTCATAGGTGAAGGAGGGTTTGGGTCAGTTTATCGTGGCACACTATCTGACGGTACGGATGTAGCAGTGAAGGTGCGATCCTCTACCTCAACTCAAGGAACAAAGGAATTTCAGAACGAGGTACAGGAACATATTTCTATCTGCTGCTCTAGCTATTTATCAGATGGAGAGATATAATTAATGTTATAAACAGCACAAATAAAACTAACTCAATTGCATGGCACAGCTAAACCTTTTCTCAGCAATTCGGCATGAGAACTTAGTCCCTCTGATTGGTTACTGTAGTGAAAGTGATCAGCAAATCTTGGTCTATCCATTTATGTCAAATGGCTCGCTGCAAGATCGGCTTTATGGTAAGTTTAACTTTCACCAAGCCTCTTTATAAAGAAAAGGAGAAGAGGGAGAGCAGGGAAGGAGGGATAGGGGAGGAGAAGGATCAACCGTCTAGGTTGCGTTGGACATTTGACTTATATTTTTCTAACAACCACCTTGTGTGACAGGAGAAGCATCAAAAAGGAAAACTCTAGACTGGCCAACCAGACTTTCTATTGCTCTTGGAGCTGCTCGAGGCAAGTAATTAAGCTTTAAATAGTGTGCTAATTTTGTCTTACCACCTGATCACGAGGTGACAGTGCATATTTCAATGATTTCTGTTGCTCAGGCTTGACATTTCTGCACACATTTGCTGAACGTTGCATTATACATCGAGATGTAAAGTCCAGCAACATTCTTCTAGACCATAGCATGAACGCCAAGGTAGCAGACTTTGGATTCTCAAAGTATGCTCCTCAAGAGGGCGATAGTGGTGCTTCTCTTGAAGTAAGAGGAACAGCTGGATACTTGGACCCCGAGTAAGCACACACTAGAACATGTTACTAATTCATCAACCAATTTCGATTAATCAGCTTATTCCAATATCTATGAATAGTATAATTTCCCAAGAGTTCATAATAAAGCTCAGAAACTACTTGTATACCTATGAATCAGGTATTACTCAACCCAGCATCTAACAGCAAAAAGTGATGTCTTTAGCTTCGGAGTGGTTTTACTAGAAATCATAAGTGGTCGGGAGCCACTCAACATACAAAGGCCTCGGAACGAGTGGAGCTTGGTGGAATGGGTAAGTCCAATAACTCATATATCAAGATGATGATTACTGGTTCAACCAAGTGTCTAAATTAACAGCAAAGTGGGGGAAACATATATTTATGTGCAGGCTAAACCTTATATAAGGGAATCGAGGATCGATGAAATTGTTGATCCAGGTATAAAGGGAGGGTACCACGCAGAAGCTATGTGGAGAGTGGTAGAGGTGTCTTTAGCATGCATTGAGACCTTCTCTGCTTATCGTCCATGCATGCCTGATATCGTGAGGGAGTTGGAAGATGCTTTGATCATAGAGAACAATGCATCTGAATATATGAAATCCCTAGACAGCATAGGAGGATACAGCTTGGGAGGGTCAAATCGCTTCTCAATAGCAATGAAGCCTCCTGTTCTACCACCACCACCACCTACCCCACCAGAACCTTCACCAGTCAACCCCCAATCAATGGCCTCGGTAGCACCAAGATAGTGGATGCAAAAATGTTGCTTAGCATGTATGATATCAATTTCATTGAGTCATAAGGAAGATTATGAAAGGACGAATGCTCTTTCACAGGAGATGATGTACCTGATAGTTCATTACGATTTGTTAATTTCATCTCTTCAGTATTGAAGTTGAGAGAACCACTTTTTTTGAAAAATGACTCAAAACGTTAAATGAGATTGTATCCTGATTTTCTTATCTAAAATAGTAGGATAATATAACAATTCGCTGAAATTAGCAAGTTAGCCTTCTTGAACTGGAAAGCAACGCAAAGCATGTGAAAGCCATGTCAACACAATTCATGGATTGGAGCTATTGTTTTGACCAAGAGAACATTTTCTTTATTGTAGAGCTCACCAACAAACAAAAAATAAACAGGAAACACACCCATAAAATTTATTGAGGATTTAAGTTAAGTTCAAATCATTCTATAAGATAAAAAAGTTCGCCCATATAGTTTATGCATAAAAGAGGTCTTCACTTCCTAAACGAGATCAATTGACACCTTCATAAACCATGAACGATGAGGCTGTAAAAATAAGATCCTCGATCACTAAGCTAATCAAAACAATAGTTCACATGAACTTTCAATCGGTTCAGATCTTATTGTCAGACATGTTTTGTTGAATCTATGATTTCAACATCTTGAAGTGTCCACTAAACGAGTCTGAAACCAGAACTTGCCACTCTAGTGATAGAAGGCCCATGCCCAATAACCACATACATTTTCCAATGGAAATCGTCATTGTACATTGATATGAACATGTTATGAAATTCACTATATTTTAGCAGAGCTTATTTGCATATGCATTTGAAGTCATGAGTAAAACTACCTGTATCACCCAAGAGATCAAATCTTATTATAACTGGTAAAAGATTGAGGAAAAATCTAACTGGAGTGGTGCATAGCTAAGAGAAACTTCAACAGCAAACTTAGCGGGCAGATGACCTTTGTTTGCTTGTAATAGTATGTTTAAGGGATTTCAAGATGTGAAGAATGTCACTTTCAAAAGTAACAACTGGGAGGAGTTAAGATGCCAGCTGAACATGCAGCCAAACAAAGTGACAAGAAAGCAAATTTAAACAGTGATCTCAAGCACGATAAGATCGCTGATTAACATCACCGTCAAATATTACTTGCATACAGATTGCAAGGCAATCACATTCCATAGGCTATTAGGCTACAATACAATAAAGGAAATAAAATCTAAAACTAAGCGTTCATCCGAGACCAGATACCATATCCGATGCATGGTGGCTGTAAGTGTGAAAGGACATAACAATTACAGACCAAGGACGGTGCGTAATTGGTTACCTTATCACAAACTCCGCTCACATATTCATAGAACAAAGAGATGCAGAACAGTAACCTAATTATCTATCTGCACTCCTTGGTGCAAGACAGCCACAGAATGGCGTTTCTTGTGTTTCTGGTGGGGTTTTTGCTAAAAGGACGAAGTAGCTACCTGGCGTACTAAGTTAAGCACTGGCAATAACGGGTTATGCCATAGTCTATTCAAATTGTTCTCCATCATCAAACACTGGAATTCCGTTCAGTTTACAGCGCAAATAGGCACATAGATCATAAACGCAGAAGCTAAATGTAGATTTATGTATATTGGAACTCGGAAGTATAACAGTACAAATTCAAGCTTCTACAGCAGACATAGAAGATCACGGAGAGATACGCTTACAAGTAGGAGCCGCAGTAGCGAAAATTCAGACTGGAAAAAAAGTTCAGGTATTGAAAAGGGAAGGGTTGGCTGTTGCGGTACCGACTTGGACCTCAAGCAGCTCCAGTCGACGCTCCAGAGTATCGAGCTTCTCGTTCAGCGACGCCAGTTTTGTTTTAGTCGTAGCCTCTGGAGAATCCGGGAATGGAAAAATTAAACACAACCCAGAAAGGTGAAGCAGGAGAAGCGAAGAGGGCAGGGGAAGAAGACGAGAAAAGGTACCGAATTGGAGGAGGAAATCGAAGAGGCGACGGATGTTGAGGGAGATGTGAGAGATAAACTCGCGATTCTCCCAATCGGCTTGGACAGCGATCCCTACATTGACCGCATTTGAAATCCCTCCAGCTCTCGCCATTCTTTCTTCCAGCAAATGCGCCCCACTATTCTTCTTCTTCTTCTTCTTCTTGGGATCAAAGACAGGACCGAGAAAAAGAAAGGATGAGGGTGAGAACTAGGGAATGGGAATGGGAATTTCCGATTCTTCTTCTTGTTGTTTTCTCGTTTGCGGAATTGCTGCTGAATTTGGATTTCCCTTTGTAGTTTCACACTTCTCAGTTCTTGAGCAGAAAGAGTTTTTATGAATGGTAGGCGAAATCGGGAAGACTGATGGGTTCCTGGCTTCCTGCTGCACGTTTTGGTTTTCAACGGCCTGGTTGGCAGAGGCTTAGCCTGGTTGGTTGATTTCAGTTGACTATTCTCTTTCTTTTTCTTGACCTCTTTTTTCCCACTAAAACAGTCCATTACCTTCCAAGGCAAGTTTGTTAGTAAGTGGCTGTAGGTGGCTGGGGCTGGGCAACCTAGTTATATTTAGGATGGCAATGGGTCGGGTTGGGTCGGGTTTTGTCAAATTCAAACTCAAATTCATGAGTTTATCCGTGAATAAAATCTGGGGTAAATCCCACTGGGTTTGAAAAACTCAAACCCAAACCAACCCGCTGGGTATCCGCGGGTTCATGGGTACTCACGAGTTTTTGTCGTAAAAAATTTACAATAATAAGTTCCTATCAAAATTAAAGTCAAATATCAATCTCTCAATACCAATTATCCATATTTAAAACATCATTCTAGAAAATTCAAACAAATCACAAATTAACAATACAAATTGTTCAACACCAATCTAGAAAACTCAAGAAAATTTGAAACAAATCACAAATTATCCATAAATAACATGATTAATTGAAAGCTTCTTTCTTTCAATTAAGTTTCTTCACTCTCCATTCGATAACATCTACTTCATTCTACACAATTAGAAAGAAAAAATTAGACATGTCTCCACAAACATAAATAAGATTAGTTGTTTAGAATATAAAATATACCGAGAAAATTAATTATATGGGTGTGGGTGGGTACCCATGGGTCGGGTTTACCTAAACCCAAATCCAACCCGGTGAATAGTGAATGTGTTTAAACCCAAATCCGGCCCAAAACCCTTCAACACGGATTTTAACCGCGTTGACTGGGTTGGGTCGGGTGGGTACCTGTGGGTTCGGGTTTTGTTGCCATCCCTAGTTATACTCCTAAGAGAATTCTTTGTTAGGAGATACTAATAGAGTTGGATGGGCAGCCACGTCGCCAAGCCACGATCCATCGATGGAGGAAGATTGGCGCCAGTATGTGAGGGAGGAGAGCCGAGTTCATGGGCTGGCCCAAGCCTACAGAAAAAGAAAATGGGGCCCACCTGGCCCCCAAATTCAAAAAACACCACCTTTTTTACTCAAAACCCTCCCCTCTCTAATCTTTCTCCACCAGACACGTTTTTTCCCTCTCTCTCTCTAAAATCAATTGTTTCCACTTCCTCTCTCTTTCCTCTCCCTCTCCCTTTCCTCTCCCGATAACGACGACGACGTCTAGGTTGGTTTGACAGCGGCGATGGTGTAGACGAAGCGGCGGCGACGAAAGGGTTGGTTGAGAGCGGCTAAGGTGCAGATGGAGCGGGCTTATTTTGACGGTACAGACGAAGTGGCGGCGACGAAGGGGTTGGTTGACGGCGGTCGTTGAAGAAAGAACTACTTCGTTAACTGAGGTAGTAGAGTTTTTTTTTCCTTTGTTCATGGAAACTCATGTTCGTTTGAGTAGATTGAGTTAGGGTTGCATGGCTTCGACTAGATCTGGGTTTTTCTTTTCCTACGTTTTTTTATGAGTTTGATGGATTTGTTTTCTGGTAACTTAGATTTGATTGGATCTGGGTTGCTTTCTTTTGTGGATTTTGTGGATATGTTTTCTGATTGTGGATTTGATTGGATCTGAGTTGCTAGGTTTGTGGATTTTGTGGATTTGACTAGATCTGGGTTGCTTTGTTTTCTGGGTTTTGTGGATATGTTTTGTGTGCGTTCTGATATTAGTTCTATTCAGGCAGGACATCAGTTTTCAATTGCATGGATAGTTGTGTGGTTGGAACCTAGGATTCGATTTGTAGATCTGGAATATTAGTTCCTTTCATAGTGGATGACAATTAGCATGCTTGGGATACTACTTTTGGATGATGTGGATATTGTTCTGTAATTGATCATTCGGATATTAGTTATGTGATGTCTGGATATTTGTTTACTCTGTCTTGATATTTCTCTGCCCTATATGGATGTTAGTTCACTTATATTAGTTTTGTGCGGTTGAGATATCTGTTATATTATGTCTGGATACTTATTTGTTTGTATATGGATATTACTTCTATGATGTTAGTTCTGTGATGTCCATATATTAAAAATATTATGTCTGGATATTTTTCCTCCATGTTTGGATATTTGTCCGCTTTTTATTGGATATTTTTCTATGTTTACCGGATATTTGTATGTGCTTTAGGGATTTTGCATAATGGAAGACAAGGAGCACTGTTTGCGGCTAATCTCTTACTCTGTCACTATAATTCCCATGTAGTTGGGATTGGACATGGGGTATTTGGGATTCAATTTGTTGATGATGTGGATTCTAGTATGCAATTGGTTGTCCAGATATTAGTTATGTTATGTATTGATATTTTTCCCCCAATCAGGACATTACTCTGTCATGTATGGATATTAGTGTCCTGGTATTTGTTCTGTGAGGTAAAGATATTTGTTAAATGATTCCTTCGATATTGCTCTGTTTGGAATGTTATAATTGTCATGTCTTAATTGCTTTAAATACTAGTTGTATTGAGGGTTGATTATGGTTTTGCATACTTGAAAACCAGTGTTTTGTTATGGAATACATTTTGTGATTTGGGGATGCTAAATACTAGTTCATTTCAACAATGATACAAATTAAGTAGATAAATATCCACATAAAACAAATATTCAAACAACACAGACTAATGTCTAACCATCACATACTAATATCTATTCATACAAAATAAATATCCAAACCACCCAGGCTAATATCCGAACGTCGCAAACTAATATCCGTTCACCATAACAATTATCTACATCCCAAAAATGGCATGATCAGAACGTGGAGGGCTTGGAGGGATATGATCAAAAATACTATCGAAAGTTTGGCCAAGCAAGACAACATTTGAACTATTCCTTTTTCATTTTTGTGGTTGTACTTTTACGGATTTTAGATTATGAGATTGCAAAGTTGGAATGACACTGAATACTAGTTGTATCGCGGTTTGTCGAAAAACGACTTTTTTTTGTTATGGATATGTTTAAACTAAATATCAACACAAACAAACATAGATAAACACCACATAAAACAAATATCCAAACCAAATCAGACTAATATCCGTTCACCATAAAAAAAATGTCCACACCACCCAGACTAATATCCCACCGTCTAAGACAAATATCCGCCGATACCATAATTAATATCATCACCATGATAGACTAATACCAACCACACACAGACTAATATCTAACCCCACACCACATAATAATATCTTATCACCATAAACAAATATCGAACCACCCTACATTGTATTCATAAAAATTTCCACAATATCGTCTTCTAAACCCTAAATCAAAACCCAAACCTTAAACCGTAAACCCTAAAGTCTAAACCCTAACACTAAACCCTAAATTGATGTAATCATATACAAATCAGTAGATAAACATATACACAGAACAAATATCCAAACTACCCAAACTATTATCTGATTGTAGCAGACAAATACCCACCACACAGAGATTAATATCTGACCATCACACACTAATACCCACCACACGCAGATTAATATCTGACCATCGCAGACTAATACCAACTGCACATAAACTCTAAACCCTAATCCCTAAAAAAATAAACCTTAATCACTAAACCATACAAACTAAATCCTAAAGTATGATCACTAAACCCTAATCACTAAATCATAAACCCGAAAAGATGAATCCTCCGGGAGTGACATCAGGGTCTGGAAGACACTCACTCTCTTATTATTATTATTTCATAGGCATTCGGCCAATGGGCCCTCGGCGGGCAGCCCTAACTAAGGTTGCAAGCCTTATGTGTTAGGACTTGATAGTGTGTTTAATTTTGATGGAAGACACAATATCCATTACTTCACAAACTAATATACATTGCATATAATATCAGTTCATAAAAAAATAAATGTTCATACCTCCCAGACTAATATCTAACCACATAAATATCCAAGAAAAAGAGAGAGAGAGATTGAGAGAGAAAAGAAGTGGTCCAAAAATAAATTTCCCAATTACTCTTTTTTTTCCACATTTTGTCACTTCTCTCTTCCTTCCAATAACTTTTCCCTTTTTTCTTTCCATTTTTTCGTCATCTCTCTCCTCTCTCCAATTATTTCTCACTTTCTTTCCATTTTCTTGTCATTTCTCACATCTCTCCAATTAATTCTCCTTTTTTCTGTTCACTTTTTCCTGTCACTTCTCTCTTCCCTTCTTCTTTCAAATCCTGCCCAAAAAGGTGGTGGACCCGCAGCCACTCCACCAGCTTATTCCTTTGGCTCGGCTTGGAAGAAGAAGCCAATTTTCACTCTACCACAACTCACTTAAGTGAGTTGTCTCTCTCGTTCATTGGATCGCTGCTGGGCCCCCTTGGATTGCATCTGGACCGTGTTAGTATCTACTAAGATGTTATCCAGTTAGCATTTTAACTTTTTTCGCTGGGCTAGGTGCTTGTTAATTGTTATCACTTATCTTTTATTTTGTTGGTAAAATGCTTGGTATAATTATGTTTATTATCCTGGAATCTCAACCCCACGTGCCACTTTGTTACAGCAGGTCCTACTAAACTTGGGGGCCACATGCATTCAATTCAATGCCAACAGGGTTTCGCCCCCAGCAGCCTTATACCTCCGGGAACACCAACGGGGCTCGCTGGATTCGAACATGGGATCCGCAACTCTTAAACCTTCACTGTCGCGACAGCTTACTTTTAGGCTATCTTACCTTTGATAAATATGATATAATTACGAGTTACCTAACTTACCTTGCCCATATGGTAAATAAATAATAAGTGACGTAAAAACAGAAAAAATTACCAACGCAGATATTAGAGAATTATATGATAATTTTATAGAATTGGTGTTTTGGTTAAAAAACACATTTTTAGTACAAACTGAATTTGTATTTTGAACGTTAACCTACACAGTGGGGGAGCCAGGAATGTTATATAGGGGTGTCATTTTTTAAAAATTAAATTAATAATTAAATACTTGTTAATGATTAAATAAGAAAATAAATAATTAGTGCAAGTTAAACCAAAAGTACACTACGTGTTATCATATTCTGAAAAAGTTGTAAAATACATATGGGGAGAAAGATGGGTGATGCGCGCGGAAGAGAGTGATTTCAAAATTACTACAAGCATAGAAGAAGTCACTAAGAT